AGGTATATGAATAGCTGGAGCAGCTGGGGCAGGGCAGAGAAGGGGGCGTCGTTCCTGCCTTGCCCAGGGGATCTGCAGACAGAACCGGTCCCCAGGCCTGTGCCTTCTGCTGCTCCATTCCCATGCAGAACAATCGGGGCTTCTAATCCAGGCTCATTTCACACCGACTCTCTGGCCTCGTCCAGCCCTGCTGGTCCTGGGAGACTCTGGAGAGCTGGGGAAATCCTAGCGGAGCCTGACTGAGCGTGGAGCCGCGGGAGGGGAGCGCGCAGCCGCGAGCGACTCGTGACAGGAGAAAGCTTTGCGTTCTGCCGCCAAGGCCCCCGGAGGCAGTAGGGCAGGGCACTGGGTTGGGATTCAGGAGAGCCCAGTGCCATTCCTGGTTCTGTGGTGCCTTGGGCCACATCACTTCTTCTCTTTGTTTCCACTCCCAACCTTTCTTTGGCTGGTCTGTTTAGCCTGGAAACTCAGCTGTCTCTTATGTGTGCGTGCAGCATCTAGCACCGCAGGCCTCGACTTCAGCTGGTGTTTCTAGGCCCACCCCTGCGATACAAATAATAGTCGAAGCTTCAGGAAAACCAACGTTTTTAACAGCCTGAGCCAAACCCCCTTCTCCTCCCGGAGATGACCACTCTCCGACTGGTTCTCCAGTCCGCCACAGAGCCTTCCAGGGGAAACAAGCCTCAGCAAACCAAACACTCTGGCCCCTCCCACCACAGCCACCTTTCTCCATCCATCAGAAAGAAGCGCAAAGGCACAAGCCTTGTCCTTGGCAGGTTGAGGCTCCACCCAGCTGAAAAGCTCCCTCTGTTTCTTGCTCTCCCTGTTTTCCCTGGACTCCCGCCCGCATAGGGCAGGGTGCCTGCTCCAGTCCTCAGTCCCTCTCCCTTGCCCCCGGCCTGCTGCCCAGCACAGCAGCACCCACTGAGCATGCTTGGTCTCCCAGCCGTGGAGATCAGGTACCGAGGGAAGCGAGGGCAGGACCACAGCATGCTGACTGGCTGTCAGGAACCCCCTGCCCGCCAGAGCGATGGGCAGGGCCGTTGGCTGGGGCCCGCAGGATCCCCCGGTGCAACTGAATAAATAACAAATGTCAGAATTTCAAGTAATGTCCCTGCTTCGTGCTCTCCCCAGCTCTGCCGTCTCCCGGCAGGGGCCTGGCTCCGGTGTGGCCGTGGAGCCCTCCCTGTGCCTGGTGTGCTGCCTGGCTGCAGAGCGGCCCAGGCGCTGGCAGTGGTTTCATTGAGGCTCCTGCCACGGGGCTTCCTGGGGGTGGGGGGTGTCGCTGGCTCTGGAGATTCCCGGGGCAGGGGCGGAGGGAGTGGCTGCCCCCTGGCGTTGCTTTCGCCTTCCAGTTTTCCGACGGGGTCGCCTGGCTCCTTTAATGCCCCTGGCAGGTTTTACAGCACATCTGTCGGAAGTAGGTCCGGCTGCAGAACTTGAACTTCAGCACCAGGGGGCAGTAGGCGACCTTGTTCACATCCTTGCACTCTGCAGGGAGCCCAGAGGGAGGAGGGTTAGAGCCCCGCTCGGCTGAGCAGAGAAGGGGCTCAGAGCGACCCCCCAGGGCTGGACTCCCCCGAATCCGGGAAACATTCGTTGCCCAGGGCCCAAGTGGGAAACCCCAGCGCCAGGGAGCAAGTGGGGGGAAACCCCAGCGCCAGGGAGCAAGCAAGGGCCGGGAATCCTAGCGAGGTCGAGGCATCTCCCCCCGACAGGCTCAGCCGGACCAGGAGCCGCTGCCCCCACCCCACTGCGGGGGGCAGAGGGCTCGGTGGGGGGGGCGTGGGCCGTGGGCCGTGTTCAGAGGGGACGCGCCGGCCGCGCGGCTGGTACCTTCCGGGCTCTCGGTAGCTCCTGACTCGCACTGGGCTTCGCACTGCTGCATGGCGGCCGGCTTGAGGCTGTCCCCTGATCCAAACCCACTGAGCCCCGCTCCCCTGCTGCCCGGGCGTGCTGTCACCCCTGCGCTGCCTGGGCCCGAGTGGAGGGAAGGTCCTTCCGGCCAGGCTGCTGGCAGGGGGCACAGTGGCTGGGCGCTGGGGGTGGGGCACTCTTTCGGGAAGGAAAGAGACTCAAGGGCCCTCGCCCCTTTACCTGCCCGGCTCCCCCCTCCGGCTGCAGCTGGGGGCTCTTCCCCCCCGTTCTCCCCACTGCAGTGAGGCAGCAGGCGACTCAGGAGGGGGCT